AATTTCTAAAAGGAAACTTTTTTAAAGAAAGAAAGAGAGAGGAGAAATAGAAGCGACAAAGAAGTTTTCTCTAGACGAACCCTTCTCCATTCCTGAGCCGATGAGTAGTCAGGGACCCGGGGCACTGCGCAATCCTCAGAGCCCTGCTATGCAACTGTGTGCCCGGCGAGCGCCGTGGGTCCCCGGCTGCGGCACCCACGCTCGCGACGTCCGTCCGCACCCCAGAACTCGGGCCCAAGGATACCCGTGGCACGGGAGGCTTCCTAGGCCCCCTCCCAGACGGGACACGCAGACCTCAGCGGCGGGTAGAGACCGGCCTCGAACACTTTCTTCAGCTCCCCCCGGAAGGGGCAGTGGTGAAAGCGCCTGCGGAGCGGAGGGAGGTCTCTTTTAATTAGAAGCTTATCGGACGCGGGTTTGATTAGAGCTCACTGTCCCTGGACCCCGCTCTGGGCCTGGCGCAGAGAGTGCGGGGGCAGAGGCCGGGGGAGGGACAGCTGCCGGCTAGAAGGAGCAGCGTGTTCAAAGCCTCCTTGCACAGCCCTTGGAGGGAGAGACATGAGTGGCGAAGGTAGCGCCTTTCCCACGGTTAATCCCGGCCCGGGAGAGGAGCGCAACCTTGACCGCGATCGAAGAGGCAAGACGCGCTCTGCGCTCTCCTCCCCCGCCCGCGGCAGCAGAGAAGCGGGGAACCGCCTGGCCCAGCCAGGCTGGGAGAGCTGAGGGGTGAAATGGACAGTAGACTCAGCCAGGAAGGTGATCGGAAGGCTGAAAACGATGACTGCAGCTGCACCGGGATCCGGGAAAACCCGTCCCCTAACAAAATACCCTCTCGTACGTGACCGAAAGGGGGAGCCTTTGGCCCTCGGTCTTCGCAGCTTCCGCACCTGACCCTGGGTGGCCTGATTATCCCAGGCCTGATCATGCCAGCGTTCTGCCAGCCCGACGGGCTGCGGGATCAGGCGTAGACTAGCAAGCAACCTTTTTATTTTTTCTTGAGACGGAGTTTTTCTGTCGCCCAGGCTGCAGTGCAGTGGCACAATCTCAGCTCACCGCAACCTCTGCCCCCCGGTTTCAAGCGATTCTCATGCCTCAGCCTCAAGTAGCTGGGAATACAGGCGCACGCCATCACGCCCAGCTTTGTTTTTGGATTCTTAGTAGAGTTGGTTGTTTCACCATGTTGGTAAGGCTGGTCTCAAACTTCTGATCTCAGGTGATCCAACCTCCCTGGCCTCCCGAAGTGCTGGGATTACAGGCGTGAGCCACTGCCTCCGGCCCTAGCAAGCTTTTCTTCCCCTCCTCCCTAAGCCTTGCATCTAGTCTGGGACTACCCAAGTCCTCACCCCCACTTCTGCCTTCACAAACCCTTCAACCCTTACACATGGACTAAGAGTTTGGCGCTCCTCCAGCAGGCCAGAAGAAATCTGTCTCAACAGTGGGGCCAAGATCCCTGGAAAAGGAGTAGAAACACCCTGGAATGGTATAGGTTCAAATCCCAGCTCTGCCACCTAATCTCATAGAGCCGGGATTTCTTCATTCAAAACAAGGGCTTCTCCAGGATCAGGCTGTGAGCTTCTTGCAAAGGTTCTTGAGGCCATTGTCTTAATTAATATTCACTCCCCAGTGCCTGGCCAAGTAGGTGACTGATGTTTGCTAAATTAATGTTTACAAGATTAGGCTGCCAGGTATACTATTTAAGAAATTAAAAAATGAACATGCTAGTGAAGTTTTGTGAAGGCTTGTGAGTGAGTACCAGCAATTGCCCCTGCCTGTGCACCATGGCTAGGCTGCCCTAGGGATCCAGAGACAACCACAGTTCCTCTCCCCTAGGGTTTGGCCTTAGCGCTCTGATGGCCATTTCCACATTTTTGAGAGAGTTGATGCCCTTGCCTTTCACAGCCTAAGTCTCAGGCCAGACCCTGCATTCCTGGGAAAGCAGCAGGAACCCTGGAAATCAAAAGAATAAATCCAGATTCTCTAGGACCATCCTTGTTGCCCACTCCAGGGTAGAAGCTGGAGCGCTTTTCATATCCAAGCTGCCCAATGATCCTCAATGGCTGGGTAAGCTCAACCCATCTGTTTTCGTTGCAAGACAAAGCTTAAACCTACAGATAGCGCTTCCAGGCTGTATGACCTGAATCTGGGGCCTTCTCCCCATTGGGATTTTTCTCCATGGTGGATAGGAAGGATACATTCACCTGCTAGTCCTGGTCCCCTTTTGACTTTTTCTCTATGGCAACCACGCCTGTGTATTATAAGGAATCCAGATATTTTCCAGAAGTGTAATGCCCGCTGGCTGTGAAACCCAAAGTTCCACCCCACCCCTTTCTGGGTGTTAAGACCTCAGGCACCAGATCTGCCCTGAAGAGGGCTGGACAAGGGACTCAAACTGAAGAGACAGAGCCCAGGTTTCAAAAATTCCCTAGAAGTACTAAAATGGTAATGGCAAAGTACTATTTTGTGCCCCAGGGGCATGGACTCAACGGTTTCTCAACCCTCTCCAAATAGCACACATGCAGAGATTCACGGTTTCTCAGTTACAGATGTTTAGATGGGTTGCGGAGTTCTATATTTAAAGCCCCAAGACGATGGTGGGTCGCGCTTCTGCATCTCTGAAGAATAACTTCAAGCCGGACCCAATCTCCAGGTTGCCCATCTCAGCTGTCCTCTTATAGACAGGAACTCTGAGACTTAGTAACTCAACCTGCTAAACAGAGGTAGCGCGATCTGATCAAAGAACACAAGCCTCAGCGATAAGTTGTCCCAACGCCCCTTGAGTACAAAACACTAATTTCACTAACTAAAGGCACAGAGTGGAGGCGACCCTTGGGTCTGCTTGCGGTTCCTCCGCGGGACACTGATCCCAGATTCTCCGCACGAAAAGGGCGGTTTCGATTTCTCCAGGGCTTTGGGTGGGCCCGGCGCTCCTGGTTGGGCTGGGGTAGTATAGCCTTAAGAGGCGCGTTTAGAAGGCGCGAGTGAAGGCTGGCAACCAAAGCAGAGCCCCTCTGCCGCGCTTTGGGGGAAGGTACCTCCTGCAAAAGACACACTCGACTTCCCTCGCATTCCAGCAACATCCCAGTCCTTAGGCACTCAAGATATTTTGCTCCAGGAACAGCATCCGCCATTGTGTTAGTAAAGCGTTTACGAAAATACCTAGTGAACCCGAACTGGCTTAGGTTCTCAATAGCGCAGAAATCCACTGAGAATAAATGAAGAGGACAAACTGCAGGGGCATTGCAGGGTCGGGTCCGTGCGGCCTGAGCTAAAGAGAGGTGGGCGGGCGCCGGAGCGGGAATAGAAACCAACAAGATACTTTGTCGTGCGCCGAGGTCAGTCCTGGTATCCTGACTGAGCACAGAGAGTAAACCTGTCCTTGTTCTAACTCCAGGTCTTGAAGAAATATTTTCCCAGCTGAGCCCCGCGTTTACAAGATAAGGAGGCGCCCCAGATGCGCTGAAAGAAAGGCCAAAGCTCGGGCCTCCTTCCACTGTCTGCGGCAGAACCTGGTCCCGCATAGCTTGGAATCGGATAAATCAAGGTCTGGTCCATCTACAGAACCTGCGTGGCTGCCGCCTGAGCGAAGCCCAGAGAAAGATCCACTTCTACATTACCATAGGCGGGAGCTATCCGCGCACACGGCACTGTTCCAGAAAGCCATTTAGTGACTGGTGGTGCGTTTGCTCATTCTAGTTCTCCATGATGCTTAATGTGCACCTACTGTGTGCCAACACCGTATTACGCGGGCTGGAGGTGCTCCTGGACATTTTAGAGCGGCGGAGGCAGCACAGCATAGGCGCTCACCCCGCGCTGGTCCCACTACGAATCCACAGTCCAGACGTCTGAAAAGCCCAACGCTTGGTGACAATTTGGTGTTGCCTTAATCAACAAAACCTCTTCCCGAGGCAAAGTCAGACACTGCGCCGGTCTCCTCGTCCCATTCCCGTGGGTACTAGCAGTCCCGGAATCCAGAATCTCTCTGACTCTAAGGGGCCCAGAAGGCCTCCCGGCTCAGGCGAACAGTCAGCCTCCCAGCTCTCCCTGGCTTTGGAGGATGTCGGGGGCCCCTGCCTGCGTGCACTCCTACTCACCGGCCTCCTCCCCGGCCGCCGCTTCCGCTACCCTCACCGCCCTTGGGAAGCAGCCGGGTAGGAGCTGCGGTCTGGGATGGGGTAGGAGAGGGAGGTGTCCTAGGGCGGGAAGCCCCTGGCTCCACTGCCCCGTGCGTAGGGGGCGCTCCCCAGCCTACTTACCCTGATTGCGAATACCGGGCTGGCTCTCGAGGCAGCTGGGCAGGTAGGGCGCGTTGGGAAACATCCTGGCCTGGCCGGATGACGCCTGGCTGGGCGGAGGAGGACCGAAGGGCCCGTAACGACAGGCTCCGGCTGTGCCGGTGAACTGGCCGGAAAAGTGGACAGTGAAGGCGCTCAGGCACTGCTCCTCGTGCGGCTCGGCGCCGCCCCAGCTCGGCTCCTGTTTGATGAAGGAGTGGGGCGGCGGTGGTGGGGGTGGCGGCGGAGCCGGCGGCGGCGCTGGGCCGCCCAACGACCCGTAAGCCGAAGCGCCCGGGGGCGCAAAGTCCAGCACCGGCGCCCACTGCGCGGCGCCGCTCACAGGCAGGGCGCAGCCGCCGCCGCCACCCAGCGAGGGGACGGCCGGCAGCAGCGCGTTCAGGTCCCGCACGTCGGAACCCATTTGCTGCAGCTCAGCCCCGGACTCCCCGCGGCTCCTCCGGCCCGGCAGACGTTCTGCGCTGGCCTCGGCTGCGCCTAACTTGGCCCAGATGCCGCCTGGATCCCGGACTCCCCGCTGCGCCGGCTGCTGTAGGCACCCGGGCCCGGAGCGGAGCGTGTGCTGAGACGCCGGCTCCGGGGCACACGTGGAAGCCGGCTCTTGCGGGAAGAGGAAGTCCAGGATCGCGGCGAGGAGACGGCGGGGCCCGGGCGCCTGGGCTGCCGTCCCGGCTCTGGGTGGGTGGGTGGGTGGGTGAATGAGTAGGTGGGAGGGAGGGCAGGAAGGGGGGAGCAGACAGGCGGTCGGGTGGCGGAGAGCCCCCGGGTATGGGCGCTGCCTTGAACTCCTTACCCCAGCTGCCTGGCTGCCCCCGGCTTCCCAAAGCTCAAATAAGCGGGGCCGGCGGCGGGGGTAGGAGGAGGAGCCAGGAGGCTCGGCCGCTCCATTCACTCAGCAGCCCAAGCTCGGCCCGGCAGCGCGCTGCTCCTTGGGGGCGCCCTCGCAGCGGGGATGGGGGCGGGTCCGAGGGAGCGTCCCTCTGGGAGACACCCTCCTCTTCAACCAAACACGCGTTCTTAGCTGCCCGGTATGGCACGACCCTCCCCCCATCTCCCTTTCAGGGCCTTCGCCAGTGTGGGAGCCTCGTCTCACTGGAGAGTCCCCTCAGGTAAGCACATTGTCCAGGCAGGGTCGAATGCGGTGGGAGTAGAGATGGGGTTGTTAATCTAAGAGAGTGGTTTGGAGGGAGGGGCAGGTAGGTTCCGAGAGGGCGGGAACTTCAGGAAAGCGCGGAGAACTCACAGGCTTCAAAGAAGCGGTTACCCTTACATTGCACCCTTGAGTCTGTCTCTTGCTTCTAGAGCCGTCGGGTAGGGGTGGTGGCTATGATCTTGGGGTCAGTGCGGAGAGAGGCGGCCCTTTGGGGTTCCAGAAGTCGGGACTGGAAGGGAAGGTGCCTCAGTTGGGTGGCTGGGAGTTGTACCAGTTATAAACCGGGAGTGTTTCGATGGGCTGGTGGCTGTTTACTTGGTGAGGTTTGCGCCCAGCGGATGGCGGTTGCCGCCTACCTAAAATCGGAGTCAGCAACACTTAAGTTTCCCTTTCCAGTAAGGAATATTTCGTTCTTCTACGGTTAAGCCGGGAAGACAGCGGCTAGTCTAGGAGGGAAGAAAACCCTTGGGCAAACGCCCAAAGCCTGCGTATATTCCGGCCAGAGCATCCTGGCGTCCAGTTGGGGGAGGAGAGGTGAAGGGGAGGGTTCGGATAAGAAGCTGGGGCTGAGAGAGGGTGGCTCCTGGAGCCACTCCACTGAGCACTGCCTGCGTCTCTGGTCGAGGATACTATTCTGGTTGTTCAGTGATTGACCAGGAGGCGGAAGCCAGTTAGGGGGACCAAGGAGTGGAGTAGGGAGAGCCTCCCAACGGCCCACGGGTCCGAGGTAGTGTTCAAATCTTTGGGAGCTCTAAGAGCTTCGCCAAATTATACTCCCTTCATCTAGTCTCTGTTTGGCAGCCTCCGCGCCCCAGAGCAGGTGTTTGGGGCGGGATGGAGGGAGGTTGTTTTGGTTTGGTGTTCGGATCTTCTAGAGGAGTTAGGATCTATTGGGAAAAAACCCTAGGCAAGGAGAAGCACCAGGATCCCTGAGCGGAGAGTGTTTCAGAGGTGCGTGTAAACGCCCAGGGGCGCCAGGAGGCAGTAGCAACGGCACAGCGTGGGACGGCCGGGCGCACTGGAAGGGAAGCAACTGGTGCAGTCTCGCCTCCTGTACCTGGCTGGCCCGGGCTGGGGCTCCAAGCTTTCCAGCCAAACTTACATGAAGCAAAGTAGTTGCAGTTTGACAAAGGATGGCGTTTTAATAAATGACAGTTATTTTTTACGTTTTGGTTTTTAGCTTGCATTGCGTAAACGTTGTCGCCATTAAATTCTGACTAAGGACCCGAAGTGTGTGCGGGGCCCAGGACTTACCCGACGGGCGCACTTCTTGGGGATGCGCATCCCGTAGTCACAGGAGAAGGGTAAAGGTACGGAACAGGAGCCCTCCGCTTGCACCCCAGGCCACCTGTGCTGTTTGACTTTGCTTCGTCTCCACTCAAAAGCTTTAAAAATTATTATTAAGAAAGATTCTCCAGGAAATTGACCCCTACGCTCTCTGCCCAGTCCCCTCCCACACGCTCTATTCCTAAACCTTTAGGGGTTTCATGCATTTGGTTTTTTGAGTGGAGAGAGGCCTCGAGAGACAGATTTCACTACCAGCTGCCCCTCGAACGCCCCAAATCCCTGTCTCTCCCTTCCTTCTCCCTGCCTATTATTTCTGCTTAGAAGTCGTTTTTCTTAACCAGGACTCAAGCACTATAAGGGACTTCCATTTCCCAACGAAAAGATTGAGATTGTTTCTTCTTTTACCATCCTTGGCACTTTTAGCGGGGGTGGGGGGGGGAAGGAGGTTATCAGGAGGGAGGCTGGCTTGAATGTGAGTCTTTGTGTTTGCGAAACCCAGGTACGTCAAAGACCCGTAAATCTCTAACCAATGCTTTCAAAAAGTAAGTTTTTGTCCCGGGCAGCGGCGGGGGGTTGGGGAGGGGGTGTAGGGGTGAGTGGGAGGAAAGGGGAACGAAGCAAATTTAGGACTCCTCTTTCCTCTGCCTTTTGTTTTCTCAGAATCCCTGTGGGGGCGGGGAGGGGAAGCGTACTGGCACGAACTCCGGGGCGCCCCTTCGCCTCGACTTCGACTTCTCAGACCGAAGAGGTGGGAGGAGTTCCCTGCAGCCTGCAGGGCCGAGAAGTAAGTGCTAAGCTCTGGAGTAGCAGTCGCTGGACCCCAAGACCCGACAGGAAGTCTCCGTACGACCCTGAAGGACCCACATTCCCGGAAGCCCAGGAGACCCTAAACCAGCGCTGGGAAATTGACAAACTCTTGCAGTCTCAGGGCGCTCCAGGCCTCTCTCTTCCCTTCTTTTTTATGGGTAACGTTCTCTGCGGGAGACCTGAGGTTACCTAAGAGGGATGCTCCGGCTGCGCTAGCCTTGGCGCTGTGAGCTAAGCAGCAGGACCCACAGCCTGGCCCGCAGGCAGGTCTCACCTTCCACCCGCCGCGGAAGGTAGGCGCTCTCTTACACTTCTTTAGCTCTAGAGGCCCGCCCAATGTCCCGGGGAAAAGAAGGCTGTGAGACCTGGGTGCTCCCTTCTTTCCCCCACCTTCCTATCCCTGTCAGCGCCGAGATCTGTGGCAGAGGTTCCTATTCTCAAACACCTATTGGCAAAGAAAGGTGCAGATTAAACTCCTCTTTTTATAGAGAAGGAAACTGAGGCCCAGACAGACGAAGGAGAGGCAAGCTGTGGAGCGCAGCGGTAAAGAGCAAGGGACTGGTGGTCCCAGAATGGAATCTCTGCTCTGCCAGGTAACCAACAGCTGTGTGACCCTAGACGAGTTTCGCAGTCTCTCTGAGCCTCGGTCTCCTTACTGGTCAAATGGGATAATGGGATACTAGCTCCCAGCTCATGGAGTCGTTCTGAGGATTAGATAGGAGAGCAGTGTTGGCCTTCGACTCAATCAACTTTACAGTTTTTGTTACTATTATTGTTTAAGGACAGGAAACAAATTAATGGCAAAGCTGAGCTGAAACCCAGGTCTCTCAACGTCCAGTTGGGGGTTTTACCCACCACCCCTCTGCCTCTCTAGGGCTAATGGGACACAGAGGCGAGGAGAGCGCCTGGAAAACCAAGCGGCGTTGGTGCACTGGCAAAGCGCAGGCATCCCGGCCTCAAAGGTGCATAATTATTGCAAGATGAAAAAAGTCTAGGCTGGGTGGGAGGAGGGCAGTGAGGATCTCTCAACCCCTACTTTCACCCCTGCGCTGGTCCACTTCATCTGACCGAGAGCGGAGCTGGGCTGCTGCAGCCGCAACCCCAGGGACCAGTGCGCACTCCCGAGCCGCCCTCCGGGAGTCACCCAACAGCCGCGGACAACCGAATAAACATGCCAAAGCGCTGCGACCGGTCAGTGGCGGAGGCAGCCACCCTACGCGCGGGGCACAAAGACTGTGATAAAGAGTGGCTCGACCTCTCTGCCGCCTGTCGCGGGAGAGAAATTAGCGTTCGACTAGCGTCTCTCTCCTGGGCCGGCGCCCGGAGCCCCGCGCACAAGTTAGCCCGACAGCTGCTCCCTCCCTCCCTCCTCCCCGCTGACTCCTGCCCACTCAGGGATGCGCGGCAATTGTTTAGGATGGTTCCCAGCCCTGCGCTGGTGGTAGAAATTTCAGCGTCAATTATTTATTTAAAAAAAAAAAAAAGGAAGGGAGGGGCTTTTGTGATAGCTACTCCCAGCTTCTTCTGATCATTTCAAAATTAACTCTATTTAAAAAAATCAACAACAACAACAACAACTAGTCCCCGCTTAACGGTTCTAACTCTCCTCTCTAACCCTATCTGGGGGCCCGGAACCATTAGATACTGCCAAGTGCGATGCAGAATTTCGCTTTCTCCCCCAGTTCGCAGTGTCTGGGAGCCGCCAGGGTTACCCGTCTGTTCTGATGCCACCGCGAGATGGTCCCCGAGCTCCGGGAGAGTCCTCAATGAAAGGATTCCGCGGCTCTGCCTCTATTATTATACCGTAAATCTTTTTAAATTCTGGAACTAATTATATAGAGGATATGTCTCAATTTGTTCTGCATTAGTGCCACAGTGGGGATGGAGGCCAGGCTGTGGCCAGAGCAGATACGTAGGCCCATGAAATTGATGAACTGAGAGTTGCTTCCAGTCCTGAGCGCACCATCTGGAATTCCAGTCTGAGGTTACAATTAGAACTCCTGACCCCAGATTCAACTTTGCAAACAACGGGGAAAAAAATGGGGAAAAGAAAAACCACTAGAGAGAGAGGAAAAAAAAATATTCTGCACCTGTTTAAAAAAAAATCACACACAATCTTAAAATCTTTCCATCTTAGACAATTCTTTCCAAATATTTCTTTTGTGTTTTTTAACCTATAAAAGATAATGGAATATGTTTTATAGACTGGATTTTATCTCATCCCCTTTCCCTCTCCCAACTGCCCTCAGTTTAATGGTTGTCAGTTTTACCTCAGTGTTGAATTTAATTATGTAGGAACAAAATATTTCTCAGTAAATTAGCTTGCTAAATATTCTGTCACATTTACTTCCCCTTTGAGAAATGGCTTAATTACAGAACTCTACCTGTGTCTAGGAACTTTTTTTTCCTTTTCTTTTTTGACTGCGATTCCAGCTTAACTGTAAGCAGAGATTTTATTTGTGCAGTAATTTTATTTGTGTTCTAAATTAGTTTGGCCAATTTCTTCCCTCTTTCTTTAGTAACATGCTGCTTTATTTTCCTCTCACTTTGACCCCCTGAAGAAAATGAAGGGCCAGGCAGTACTGGAGAATCTGTTAAATTTATTAGCATAAATGCTTAGACAAAACGAGATATAAATCATTCAGATGTATTAAGCCATAAAGTATCCCAATGAAGTCAGCCCCTTGCCAGGGTCCTGGTGTATAAATGTTCATATAAAACAAGGTATCGGTATTATCTTTCAAACTGAATATATGTTGTAAAAATATCCAAGGTTGTGTTAGGAATATGGTGGGGGGGTGTCAGTGCAGCAAGACAAGAAGGGGTTATTCTTTAGAGCAGCCTGTTAGCATAGTGGTGGCTCAGAAAGTACGGTGGAAAGGAAAAAGCTCAACTGTTGCATTTGGAGTCTTCTTAGATAATATGTTTTTAAAGAAAGGTGTTGGGATATATTTGGGAGCAAAAGAATAAGAAAAAAAAAAAAGCTGACTGGACGGAGAGTGGCATTGCTTTCTGAATGCATTTTCCCCCAAAGGTCAGTTTAGCTTCAGAAAAGTGCACCCAGAGGAAGCACTGGCTCCTCACACAGATAACAGATTAGCCAGCAGTGAAGAGCCACCTGGGCCTTCCTCTGGGAACCAGGATATCCAGCCGCTGGTCAGCAGAAGGATGTGTATTCATTCGTGGTTGAAGAAGAAGAAAGCACTTGGGTGTGAGGAAGGGGAATGGACAGAATTCTTAGCAGAGGTTTACCAAGACAAAAATCAGACACAGTGTTTAAGCAGCAATTGCTCATGAAGTTCATAACCATGGCTGTCTGAAATCTTGGCAAATCAGGGTTTGCCTTTTGGAAATGACTGTTTTCAAGACTTAAAAAAAAAAATCAAATTGTCCACCAGAAAAAGGGAATAGCTCACCTCCCCCTCCCATTTTTTTAAAGCAGGGATATCCTTATCCTTTTGGTGCCATTCATTCATTCATTCCTTCACCATGCAGCAAAGATTGTCAGGCATTGTAGCAGCAGTGGGAACACAGGGTAATGACAGGCTTACCCTGCCCTCACAGTTAATATTCCAGTAGGTATGACTGATACTTTACAAGGAAACAAATGAGATATTTTCTTTTTTTCTTTCTTTCTTTTTTAGATGAAGTCTAAAAAAGACTCCTCTGTTGCCAGGCTGGAGTGCAGTGACACAACCTTGGCTCACTGCAATCTCTGCCTCTTGGGATTCAAGCCATTCTCCTGCCTCAGCCTCCCAAGTAGCTAGGATTACAGGTGTATGCCACCACACCCAGCTAATTTTTAGTAAAGACAGGGTTTTACCATGTTGGCCGGGATGGTGTCAATCTCCTGACCTTGTGATCTTCCCACCTTGGCCTCCCAAAGTGCTGGGATTATAGACTTGAACCACTGTGCCCAGCCGAGATATTTTCATATAGTAGTAACTGCTATATAAGAACAAGGAGATCTGTGAGATTGGAGAATGACTAAAGGTGAGATGGGGATGAAGAGCAACAGATAGCCCTCACTTCTTTTTGCCTTCTGCCCATGCTACCACATTTCAATGTGTTTTTAGGAAGTATTCCACCCTACTGTCCAAGTGCAGGAAGGATTTGAAGGATTTGGAATGGCTGGTCTGGATAAATCTCTGCCCACAAGACTGGACTTTATGGAATCGGCAGGGCTGCTCTTTATATAGCTGGCTTAAAATCATCACCACTAGCTGAGTGACTCTGAAGGCTATTTAATCCCTGAGAAACTCAGTTTTCTTCTCTTCAAAATAAAAAAATAACAGAAAGTTATGAGGACTAGATAAGGTAAGGCATATAAATTTCTTAGCCTTTAGGAAGTATTCAATACATGGTTTGCTTCTAATTAATTGATAAGTTATAGGCTTAGTATTGATCTTGGTGTGAATTAAGAAAAGGTGGAAATCTTTGCTCTTGTTGGATCAGGGGGAAGAGCAGGAAGGGAAACCTTTGCTGAATCTGACCTTAAATGAGGTTGTTGCCAACTAGAAGGAAATTTAAATCATTTTGCCCTATACCAGAACCCTAAAACAGGAAATGTGTGGCTTTTGCCTCAAAATCAAGCTTAGGTTCCTTCTTTTAGTACAGAAGTCTATAAGTTAACATTAGCCTGACACTCTTAGAATAGCATTGTTCCTTGGAACCACATTTCAGGTTTGCAGCCCTTGTCCAGGATAAAGAATTCTGGCATAGGTATAAAAGCACCTGAATTCAATTCCTTTCTCTGCCAGTTACCATGATCTTGGGGAAAAAAACCTCAGCCCTCAATTTTTCAGTAGCTTTATCTGTAAAATGGAGATGATACAAAACGAAATAAAGAATCCATGGGTGATTTGAAAACTACAAAGTGCTGCACGGTGCAGAAGACCATCATGGCATCTGTTACATGTGAACATGAGGAAAGGAGTATGTCTATTCAGAACACTGGGGCATGTTGCTTGCTCTCACAGTTCTTCATTTCTAAGTGGGCATAGTACCTTTAGTCTTTCAAAACGATACCTAGCATAGAGTGTGTGCCATGTGAGTGTCACTGGTACAGTTACTGTTCCTGTTCTCTGGCCGTCTTCTTGGGCCGAGGATTGAGCCTTATAATTTTCACACAAAGAGTTTTTTACTGTACAAGTTTACAGTAGTATAGAGAGCAAGGCTTTGGGATCAGATGGCTGGGGTTTAAAGCCTCCTCTGCTACTTATTTTCTGTATGGCTTTGGGTGACTTCCTTAATTCCTCTGAGCTTTAATTTTCATAGCTGTAAAACAGGACTAATGATACTGTCACCTTACAGGGTTGTTTTTATAACAAATTAAAACACTATATGTAAATTTCTTACATGGTGCTGGCATGTAGTAAGAACGATCAATAACTGGTAGTTATTAAACTTGCGATTTTTCTAATCAGACAATATTAGCTATGACTTAAAACAGATGAGCCTGTTAGAGCTTGAATTAGAGCGTGATTCTGAACAAACACAGAAAGTAATTTCTAGCTTCCTTTAAACTCACCTATACCACACTGAAATCTCACTCTTTCGCATATGAAAGACTTTGCAACCAAGACATTGACAA